TATGACACTGCAACTTTTAAAAAGCTAAATTTCCAATGCAGTGTGTTTTTCCAATGTAAAAATTTTTGGAGAAATTTCCAATGTAAGATACAAGTTAAATTACTATGTGCAGGATAGATATGCTATGTTTTAATATATTTAAGTCTAGAATTTTATAATAAATTTGTAAAACAATAAGATGATTTAGAAATATTTATTGACATTGTTTAAAAAGGAATATCATGTCAATGCATCCTGTAGATCTGGCAAATGTATATCAGATCTACGTGTAAGGTGAATATAGTGAGTTCTTTCAAGCATATACCAGAGATGCTGTGAATTCTGCAAGATATCTAAAGTATATTCTGGATCTGGCACGAACATGGTTAATTGTATGTAGATCTGGACTGAAAATGGCCAGATCTGCATAACATATTCATGCTCTATAAAGATTAGATCCATATCTCTGTTTCGTAACTAATCCCCAGTAGGATGAATGCCTTTAACTATTGAGTCAGGAATAATATCATATAACATGTTTTGTGAATGCTTAAGTGATAGTAGTGACATTCATCTTTGATTTAACCTTGGATTGCACATGCATAATGTTCAATCTTGTTTAGTACAGACAGTGAAACTGTTATCATACTGGAGTTTACAATGAAGTGTTTTTAATTTAATGAAAACCAGGAAACTTTTGAGCCCTCTATCCTGTTTTCAGCCTGGATCAACTGTGCAACATGGATTTCCACACAGTTGTTAAGAGAGGCTGCAGTGTCTGTATATGAGTTTTTTTTTTATTTGAACTTCCAGTGAGTAATCTGAAGTCTCTTCTTAAGTACTGTTAAGTTGTTCAAGATAGTGGTTGTTGCAAATACTCATACGTCACAAACATACTGGATGAAATGCTCTATTTAAAGTCCAGAGTGCTTAGTTAATTAGCTGCAGAAACCTGGTGAGAGTGTTGCATTGTCTAAAGGGCATCACCCTGAAATTGTATAAGCCATTACTGTTGCTGAATACAGTATTCATTCACTTCCATCTGACAAAACCCAGATGCCAAATTAAGCAATCCAAGTCACTGAACTCATAATAAAAGGCTTTTCTAATTTTCTTGAAGTTAAAGCAGAACCACCAAGTCCCTTCTTTTCTATTCCACAATGATAAACAATCAATCTCAGAAATTTTTTTTTTTTTTTTTAGAGCATATACTCAAATTCACTCACAATCAAGTTTTGGGTATAGCTTATATCAGCCGCTTGCATGGGTTTCTCTGGTATCATTCTGGTTCTAAATTACTGATGAACTATCCAACTGTAATCTCAAATAGAAGATCTACCAGTTTCTCATTTTGCAGTAAAGTTAGATTATCTTCTATAATAGGTTGAGGTGTTTGTGAAGTATATCGACATTATTAGTTATTTGAGGCGTGAGTGATAACCCATTAATTACAGCCATTTTATTGTGAGCTTTTAACCTGTCTACT